TTAATAGCATTAAGTATATCTTTATTTCGTACTTGCGGCACATATCGGGATTCAAAAGTGTTTCAGGGAATCCTCTATCTCGGATACAGGTTTCTATGTTGACACAGCTTGCATCGGCCAACATTCATTCATCATCAACAGTCATTCCGGATCGACTATCATATATATAACCTCAATTCACGTTTCTAAGTTTAATTTATCCAGTTTGTTAATAACAGTATGTACAACAAATGTTTTGTTTTTCGCAAACGTCATTGCCGGCTGGATGTTGAACTGAAACAGGGGTAAGGTTCACATGTTTATTTCGCCCGAAACTGGTGATTACCTAGGTATTCTATCTTACTTTTTCGTCATCGCTGGACGTTGAACCGACACAGTGGTAAGGTTTACAAGTATGATATTTATTTTGCTAGAAACTGGTATATTTTATCGCCTCTGGCGACACGTATTCGTGACCGGTTGGATATTGAACTGACACAGGGGTAAAGTTCACATTTCAGCTGATATTTATTTCAGTGGAGGCTTGTATATAGTATATAGTCAACTAGGTAATTGATAGTACTGCTATTATGTAGACCAGTGCAAGTTCATTGCTTTTGACTGACAATAGCATGTGCAGTGAAACTGACATAGATTGAGGTTTTCGTAACATGTGGTATCAGTATATGTAGATATTTTTCACGATCATCTGCAAACGGTTTGTCATGTTGGGGGTGTGTCTCCTTTATCCCAAGGAGACTTGTGGCGTTAGTAATGCCCCCACCTTTTCTGTTCTAAATGTTATATAGTTATTAATTAATAATTTTTCTTGTTAATTATTAAAAATTGATTAAAACAAAGCGGCTATGTGCCAACAACCGGGCACATAAGCCATAATTATGCCATAAAGGCTTTGACTGGTCTCGTAGTATTCGGCAGCACAGAAAACCAAGCTCAACCTGACAAACAGTTTGCCGATGGTGGTTTAATATATGCAGGGAACCGATAAAGGAACTTATTGCCACAGCGATAAGAGTTTTTATTGCTTCCTGGAATAATTTAGAGTTGAAATTAATTATGCGAAATAAGTAATTTGCGCGCACAAGTTAATTTAATTATAGTCACGTGATTGGAAATTTCGGTATTTATCAGTGGTGAAGCGGGCTATCTGTCCTTTCCTATTCCATATGGGCTGCAGTTCACATCAAGAAATTGGATGGAAGAGAATTACCCACCCTCCTCCCCGTTGTTGTACGCGATATGTTGAACTTATATAGATACGTTATGTGCAGTGGGCGTTAGTAATGCCCCCACCTTTTCTGCGCTAAATGTTATATAGTTATTAATTAATAATTTTTCTTGTTAATTATTAAAAATTGATTAAAACAATAAAGCGGCTATGTGCCAACAACCAGGCACATAAGCCATAATTGTGCCATAAAGGCTTTGACTGGTCTCGTAGTATTCGGCAGCACAGAAAACAGAGCTCAACCTGACAAACAGTTTGCCGATGGTGGTTTAATATATGCAGGGAAGCGATAAAGGTGATTATTCATAATAATTTTTTTTTGGCTCCACAGAATTTTTTTTAAATTGTCAAAATAATTGATTATACTAAGACAAATCATTTAAAATAAAATTTGGGGGATCACCGATGTCGTTTATGAGTTAAATTACTTTAAAGCAAAAATATCAAAAATATGTTGCCATAGCAATGGCAGTACAGTATGTAGTCCAGTTTCAGGTCATTTCAGGTTTGAACTGCTATATCTTCCTTTTCAGAAAAGGTACGATTTTTAAATGCTCACTTGAGAATAGGACATGTGTTTCTTAACAATATTTCAAAAGATTGACTTTTCTTACCTTTCACTTTTAGAATTATTTATATTTTTAAGAATTGTTTTATTTGCCCAGTATTGGGTCAACTGCACCAGTATCCGGTCACTTCAAATTTCTTTGTTTATTGTATGAAAGCATTTGTTTTACGGCAAATTTCAATCATTTTTTTATAGTTGCAACATGTCTTAAGCTATTAACAACCTTCTCAACCTAAAAGCCAGCGAAAACTATCATACAAAGGAAGGAAAGGTTCGCCATTATATCTGTATATTTCTTTTTGCGTTGCTTTTTATCTCGGCAAAAAAAAATGAAATCAAATTTCCATTGACCGGCTACTGATACTGACTTGAAACTTGGCCACATACTGTAGCGTAACTTTTGTGCAAAAATTCAAACTCTTTAGATGTTGTTTTCATAAGTAAGGTACTTTTTGTTATCAACAAGTAATAATTGTCCAAAAATATCTAAATCGTGAATTTTAACCTTAAGTTGAAAATCATGTTCGAAAAGCACAGGGCATCCCACTGTTGGAACTAATAGATTTTATAGACACTCAAACATTACATGTACTGCTTATATAAAGTACTGAGTAGTTAATACAGGCGCTAATATCGCAAGCGCGTGTTCACGTTACGTTTTTTGTTCTGTCGTTTAACCCATTGAGTCGCATTGCACCCTGATGCACCCTACTTTAGTATCCTACTCTGTCTAATGCCAGACGATTTTACTCTGTCTAATGCCAGATGATTTTACTCTGTCTAATGCCAGACGATTTTACTCTGTCTAACGCCAGACGATTTTGCTCTGTCTAATGCCAGACGCTAAATGGGTTAAACAATAAATTTATATTATTTCTGCTGTATTTTGGCCGGTATTTCTTCATAAAATCAACACCCACAGCCTAGTCTCTAGGCCTCCTTAGTACGCTGAACGTTAGGATGCATAAAACATTGACAGGTTTCATATATTAAGTACGGACTTATTAATAAATTTAAGCCCATAGGAATTTAAAGCAGCTTATTAATGCACTGCATATTGCATAAAATTTCTTGTGGGCTCCTGCCGACACGTTTTTCTTCGAATGTTGTATTAAACTCTATTACAGTTAAAAAATGTGAAATTTCAAATACATTTCTAACACAAATGACTTACATAATTTGAAAGCTTGCAAAAAACTACATATAAGACAGGGCACAATATGAAGGCAAAATGGAATTGTTCCACAATATGGTAAGTTTTCCATAATTTTGGTCCTCTATCTGCCTGACTAAATAGGGAAAATTATAAGTTGAAATAAAAAAAAATTCAAGCAAGGGATTATATTTAAAGAAATTATTGACACAAGCAAAAAATTTTGAAAAATACTCTTACAAGTTGAAAAAGTCCCATCCCCCTCCCCTATCACTTTTCTAATGGTCCGTCCATTACAAAATCTTACAAGCAACATTTAAACCGCTTCGTTGGGCATAAAATTCGCTTATGTCAATGTTTTTATGCACTTGTGGGTTTAGCGGAGTGCTGAGGCATTCAAATTCTAACAACAGATTATTTCAATAGTTTGCCTTTTTGGGACACCCTGTACATATAAGCAAAGATTTGGGCTTCTATTTATTCGCCTGCCAATCATATTATAACAATAGTAAACAGTGGTGTGTTGGCAGGGGGGGACCGGGGGTCATGGCCCCCAGTGGCCAATTTTCGGGGGCGCAAGCATGATAAAAGGGCACCAAATTTTGAACGGGAGAAGGGAAAACACATAAATTCAAAAATATGGTGCTTACTGTATAATTTGCGTGCTGCAGGTGGTTTTTAATGATCATTTACAATGTGTTGGCCGTATCATTGTCAACCTCATTCCCAGACAAGAGGGAAGAGCCTGGGAACGATGATGTATCGTAGTCTGCAAATGCTCACCCCTAAAATGCATGGAATCGCATTAGAGGAACTCTGGATTTCAAAATTTTCTCAGGGGAGCATGCCCTCCAGCACCCTAACGTGACTCACACTGTTCGCACTTGCCCCACGCAAAACTATGAACCATGATATGTTGTAGTCGTCAGGCTATATACATGGGGACGCAGTTGTGATTGATGGTGGTTTACAATCAATCTCACTACAATAGTGCCGCCCACGCCGGCTGGATCCAACAATGATATTCTTTTGTTTTATACCTCCAACATGGCTGCCATGATGTTACATGCAAACGATCAATTGCTTGTAATCTCTCTGGTACCTTTTTAGCTTAATATTATTTAATATGAAAATTACACATTGAATAGCCACAATAAGTAGCTAAATTAGAATGCGCATTACATACGTAATATCTAAACAACGAAAGCGAGTGTTTCACCGGGATATCCAAACACAAGAAAACAATGCATGAAAACATGAGCATGAAGTGTGAGTGTTTTCATACATTGTTTTCGAGTGTTTGGGTATCCCGGTGAGACACAAACTTGAGTTGTTTGTATGGCTTCTCAAGTAACAGAATGTTTTCGTTTGCTGATTTGAATAGAATTTTTAACCAAGCATAACGTAATTAGGAATTCTATTCAAGTAATTTTGCATGCGTAATTAAGCCATTTGATGAAAACACTAGTGACTTTCATCAAGTTTCACCAGGTTATCCAAATGGCATCTTGTAATCAAATAGGTAATTATCATTAGCTGAATTGCTCATGAATTATTAATGACTTTGAGAAATATAGAAGAATACATTAATTACTGTACTATCTAAATTAGGTATTACAAAAGTTTCAATAGGAAATTTAATTATTTAATTTGATTTTATAGTTAATTGTTTTTTCCACAATGTTTTTCAACCAATCAGATCAGTTTGTTCCAGATTTTTGCACTGCTGTTCGTGATTTATGAGCTTATGACTTTATGAGCTAGTGTCAAAATAACCTGAGTATCAGGCTTTATTTTTCTCGTCTTCTGCTGCAAAGGGCGTGGGCGGCGAGGCGGACAGGTGGCGAGAAGATGAGAAAAATAAAGCCTGATACAATTATTGATGTGGCTGTCTGCCGCCCACTTAGTAATTAACCGGAAGTGTTTATGAGCGCGGGAAAAATAAAGTAGCGGGAATACCAGAAATAAACCTGACATCAGCACGTGAACATGAAAAACGTGTTTACGTTCGTCGGAGGTAAATGGTATAATATAAATTATAGTAAATAGCGATGGAGCAAACTTATTTTATCTGTGAAGACGATCTTCTTTTAAAGTATGGCTGGCCTTGCTGTTCTAAAGTTCCATTGTATAAGGAAACCAAAAACAAGGAATTCACATCTAAATTGTGTGTCAAGCAAAGTATTATTCTTTCTGACATTCTAAAAAGTCTGAGCTTGTTGGACGAGAATCTACTAATAACAGACAAAAGTAGCACCTCGGTCTGCAAGAAATGCGCGAGAAAGATCGTTAATTGCGGTAGCTTGTTTGAGGAACTTCGATCGTCTATTACCAAGAAAAAAAACGATGTAGAAGTAAATTCAGACAGTGGATGTGCGTCGATTGTGGTAGGAAAGAGGTCGTTAACCACATCGTCTCCTAGCGGATTTACCCCTGTGAAAAAAGCAGCAAAAAGTGGCGCAAATATTAATGGCAATATTGTTAATGATCGGCCGCTTATATCCAGAAAATCGTTATTTAACCACGAGCAAGAGGCATCGTCTGTATTCTGCAAGCAGAGCTTTCCACAGGGTACATCGCCTGCAGATAGCAACAATATGGACGATGCCATAGCTAATCTCACGTGTTTGCCTGTAAAGGAAAGAGAGGACAATAGCTGTATCGTTAAGGTAAAAACAAAACTTGTTGTACTTCTCTTCAAAGTTGTTGCACTTTTCGTAATATATATATATAATTTGTAGTATTTTTTCTTTCAGATATTCGTCACATATTGTTCAGGGCGTACGATAGAATACAAGTGTAAAGAAGGTGAAAAACTACTTGTAAAAAACATCGCTTTAAAAAATTATAAGCAGCAGCTGTTGGTGTGACGAAGATACAGCCGCTTATGAAGAAAACAATCGAACAGCTCGGTAAAAATTAAATAATCAATTTAAGCAAAGTTATAAATTGCGGTTAATGGAGTGATATGTTCTAGAAGACTTCATTTGCCCGAGGGTGTTTTCAGTCTGCCAACACATCTGCGTCAAAAAATCAATCCGTGCAAGGTACGTACAAGGTCCAAGTACCTTGGCAGAACAAGGGAACCGTTTTCTAGTCCTGTTAATATTACAAAATATCAGATAAAAATCGAACTTTTGCTACTAAGCATGTGAACAACTGATGCTAACTTGAGATTAACCAATCAGAAATTATCCTGAAGGTTTTTCCTTCACGTGCATACATACAATGCCCCCCTTTTGATCAAGGACTTTTGATCGCAGTTTCAACGTGCCTTGTTCATTCGCAAGACTTTAGCCAGTGCGTTAACAGCTCTGGCAAAAATTTTAGTTTATAATTCAAGGGATAAAAATCTTGGCAAAGAAGTGAAAATTTGGGAAAAAAATCCACCCAATAATCATGTACACCAATCTGCGTCTCTACAATGGCGTGTTGTAAGGACTATTAACTAGTAAAATGGACATTCCTGTATATAGTTAGACATGTTACTCATAGATTTGTAACCCACTTGTGTAAAAAAAAATGCAATAAATATTTAATTACTGGCAGGGAAGTGCTGTCCGATGGACAACACTTCACCACGTGAAGCGCAATCACTGCTCATTCAGGTCGCACTGAAGACCTGAATGAGCAGTCCTAGAGACTCGATGTGATCAGTCAGGTTATCAGTTGCGGCCCGGGGTAATGTGCCCTATACCAATAGTTGTTCACCAGTCCAACTAGGTCTCAATGTCGACGGCCTGACGGATCTGAACGGGGGTTCGCCTGTTCCCCTGTTATCTAGAGGTCCGCCTGTTCCTACAACCTACAGTTTTTGCGTGTATCCTCAGCCGACTTTGAGTACCCTGGGTAATGTGCCCTATACCAATAGTTGTTCACCAGTCCAACTAGGTCTCAACTCGCTGAACGACATGCACAGAGTCAAGCATGCCCTCTGCAGTCTAGAGATTCGCCTGTTTCTCTAGATAAAACTTAGGTTAGCGAGAGCCTCTAGACAGTTCGGCCGGAACTGTTTTTGAGCACTTCTCTGCCCAAAATATATGCCACAAAATGTGTTTCAAGTTATTGTTGTCCTGCTTAGTGGCTAGTTGTTCGATTTTAACTATCTATCTCTTTCCAACATATTCAACTTCATTAAAAGTAGAACTAAGAAATTACTCACGAGATCCCAACGCGGTGTTTAAATATGACGGTGATGTGGAAAAACTAGCAAATTACAGAAGCGAGCATTTGATAACTGATGCCGAGCAGAAACTGCCAATTTTGCACACCTTAATTTGCAATTCCTTTTCAAATATTAGTGAGGAGAAATTTGCTGTAAACAAGAAAGCCCTGGCAGGCTATTTCATGTATTCTTATTCCATGGATACCGTCAAACAAGTTTACACATCGTAACAATATTATTCTTACTACCGGGGGTTGCAAGTGTGAAGAAATCGATTATTTCCATCGTCTCGGTTTATCAAGCCACAGAAACACTTTAAGAAATATTCAAGAACGGTTATCAAAAAATCACGATGAGGATGTCAAGAAGTGGAAAGAAAGCGCTCTAATCGTTATCAAGAAAATATCTCTTCTCAAAGATGTCATGAGTAGGCAAGATCAGCAAAATATAGCTAACAACATGGATGTGTGTACTATTGACTTTTCAGAAACAAGTGTAGCGTCTTTGTCTAGCTATACTGGCAAGGTATACAGAGCCTGTTTGAAAATGCCTCCAGAAACTGTGAATGAGTTGTATGAGGATGTTCAAATTGTACAAGCTTTGGATACACTAGAGAAGCAACCAACACCTTCATTCAGGTATGCTGAAGTCACATCGGAGTTGCAAATAATATATTTTAATATAAAAGGCATTATTCGCTACAATTTATCATATAAACAAAAATAAATAATCTATTTGTATCGCCAAATTTCGCAATTTGGCGATACAAATAGAACAAATTACAGTATCTTACAACAGACTCTTCAAATGTGATACTTTTTATATTTTGATTTTAACTATAAATATAATAAAAATTTTCTTTAATTGATTGTTGTTAATATAAACAATGATTAAATCTAGTTAACTGGTTGGTTTAACTAATTTTTAATGCTTTAATTATAGGGCCATTCCAGATGGGGCTAATCAGCTCTTAATTCATTTGAAATGTTTTAAATTCACAAAAACCCCACCGAAATCATTCTGTGCCCCACCCCCCACCCCCATTAGACTAAGAAAGCTATAATTTACACATGCAAAAGAATGTTATTGTAACTTTTTTAAAGGATTGTAGGGGATAACTGGGACCTGAATGTCAAAGCAAGATGCCAAACCAAAGGCAAGACAAACCAATCACTGCACTACTTTAATGAGTATGCAATCAAGGACAGGGTTCTGGTGCCTCATCAACAGAACACAGGGCCAAAGTTAAAGCTTGAAAGTCTTGAGATGAGTCATCTGCTCCCAACAGAAGCTGTCCAGGACAATATTATCTGGAGTCTTACCAAAATTATACCAAGAGGTATTGTAAAGTACCTCAAGGCATATAAAGAATTCCACAATTTCGTGGTATATCATATAGAACACCCATATTCACATGAAACGAAACAGAAGTCTGAAGTGGTAGGTGTGTTTTTATCAGGGATGCCAGAACGACATGAAAGGAAGGGGGGCAGAATATTTTTAAAAGGGCACTTTCAAATTGATATATACTATTAAAGAGACGTATGGAGTTGGACCTCGCCTAATGATGTTTTCTTGGTCTTTCTCAACTGGGCGAGATACTAGGGTGATATTGTGCCGAAATATCTCTAGCTAGGGCAAGAATTTCACGTCTAAGAGCTCCATTCAGGCTAGAGTTGCTCAATTTGCCTTCTGAGCACTGGTAAACCCCATTTTCGGCACAAAATTATGCCAAGCACTTAACTGGCTCCATGCTGACAATGTATTTTCTACAATAAACACGCCATCTAAGGTAGAAAATTCCTCAGATTGAAAGGGCACATTCGCCCCTCTTGCCCCCCCCCCCCCGTGGTAAAGGGCAAGGGGGCATCACCCCTGCCCCCAGTTCCAGCATCCCTGGTTTTTATATGTATACAATTCTTATTTATATAGAATAGCTTTATATTTTTACTGTCTATTGTTTATCTAGGTATCATACCTATCAAAACAGTTAAAGATGCAATACAGTCCAATCTGTGCATGTACTCAAAGAAGCCCTCTTGTTGTTATACAAACAGTTTATTAAGGTTTTTATTTATAAAATTTTATGTTGTTGCAAAGCTTGATTGTTGTGTCTTGATAATTTATTATACTCTAGAATCATGAAAAATATAAATAGTGCTAGTTGTTGAATAAAATTCAATATTTTGGATGCCAAAATGTAAACAAAGCCTTAATTTAATTGGTTTACATACGGACTGTACCGCATCTTTAAGCCTCTCAGCGGATGAAAAATGGTCTGTCAGGTGACTCAGGTCAGGTTATACCATAGAGGCTGATTGTGGCTGAGTCTGGGCTAAAATATAATAAATGGAATTCATTTCGAACTTTTATTGACAGTGTCCTCTGGGGATGCATTTCTTAAATTCGAACAAGGCAGCTGAAATTGCCCAAATCATTGAAGATCTACAGGAAAAGTATGTTCCTATCTACAACGTTAACAAACATTATGTTCTGCAACAAATTGTGTTTGATAGTGACCAATTAACTGAGGAATGGACGAGAAATGCCCAGTGGGCCAATACGTTGGCTGGCAGTCCAGTCGATCAATTAGATGGCTTTACCACTTCATTTGGTGACTGGCATTTAAATAAAAACATCCTTGAGGTACTGTTTAATAAACTCGTAGTTCGTGTTTTATCACATATAAAACACGACGCATAGCGGAGTGTTTTATATGTGATAAAACACGAACTACGAGTTTATTAAACAGCTTCAAAAACGTCTCAGTTAGATCACGGCATTGGCGAAATAATTTTCCAAAATAACTTTGTATTAGCTGAGAAAATACAAGTTGAAATTTGAAGCGTGTTTTATCACATATAAAGACACGCCACGCTTATGATTTCTCTTTGTGTTTTCCTCATGAATTATTAATGAGTTTTTGAAGTATATTTTGAGTTACTTGCATCATTAGAAAACAAAATCCACTATAGAGTACCCTAATCTCTATTAAGCCCCTTGGAAGAACGAGAGGCGACTTATATATTTATCCTTAAATAACATGATAAGTTTGTGTGAATGTGTGTGAATAAATCAAATTAGTGTGAATAAGTCATGATATGTTTTTGTGTGAATGGCAGGGGGGGGTTTAACTAATTTCTCTGTAAGGGGGTTTATTAGAGGGGCAGTTATTTGAGGGGCGGCTTATTTGGGCTGAGAGCCTAATGGAGGAGGGCGCAGCCTATTTGAGAGGGGGGGGGGGGCCCTGGGCCTAATATATACATAATTTTTATTCTAACTTGTAGATATGCCACACAGTATTCTTTAAAGAGGAATCAGCAAACGAGCTGGGCACAACATGTTCATTAATGAATAAAACAGGTAAGACAAATGCGAAGAAGGGCCCTGATAAGGACTACAATGCCTACAAGGACTTCTTTACTCGAGAGACAGAAGGACATATAGTAGCTAAATGGATGATATTTGCTGGAATGGATGACCTTCAAAGTGAGCAATCAAAGTATTTTAGTTCATAAATTATGCTTTTTAACTGCATTTTGTGATTTTGGTCACCAGTCTGGCGGTGAGCAATGCATAGAACTGTCCTATGAATAATATATATATACCGGTATATATAATATATATATAATTAAATTATATTTCATAGGTTCTCCTTCCATTCGACCAATCCCGACAGACATATCACAATGGGATGATAACATGAAGAGAGATTGGTTGCATAATCAGTCTACATCGTTTCTCCAGGAAATATTTGGAAATACCGAAATCAGTCAAAACATCATAGAGTTAGAGAAGGCACACCAAGAAGGATTCCATTGTCGTTATCCACAGTGTAACATGAAATTCCCATTGCATTCTACCAGAGTAAGGTATTTCATTCACTAAAAATATTATATAAGACAAAATTATTTTTTCATCAAATAATGAGAAATCCCCACTGTTCACTTTGCATATTTAATAAAATAATCTTTAATAAAGGGAGGGGGGGGGGGATGAATAGGGGTATACAATCCGCCCAAATTTGAAGCAAAATCCGCTGATCTGACAATGGTCTTGTCTAAATTTGGATTTGCTAAAAGCTCTACTATGAATTCACAATCCAGGATCCGAACTAAATTGCAATCAAAATCCACAATCTGAGCCAAAATATTATATAAATCCACAATCCCCTGTATTAATAAGATCCACAAATCTGTGTAAAATATGCACCAAATCCAAAATCCGAACAATTTTTCGGTGAATCCGACGATCCGAAAACCTATTCACACCCCCCCCCCCCCCCCCCCTCCCCACAGTAAGATATACATTAGTATTTTGTTTTTAAGACATGAACATGATAGACATACCATTGTGATTGATGGTGGTGGCGATGAAAATCAAGACAGCTTTGGTTATTTCAAATGCAGAGGACCATGTCCATTTGTATTTACTACTAAAGCCACAAGGAAAAGGTATAATTGTATATGTTATATGTACATTATATTTTTAATAACTTATTACTAAACAGCAATTTTGTATTAGGCACGAAGAGACCAAACACCCAGACAGTGACCAAGTTGAACAAGATGTCAAGTCACTAAAGGCAGACGACAACATCTACAATTATCACAAGTCTAGAATGCAATTAGGTCTATTGTTTATGAATATTGAAGACTCAATTAAGGAAGGAGATGGCAATAGACTGCTAGATTGCTACAAGTTAGTACTTTTACTTGTATATAGGTTTAAGCATACAAAGTATGCATATGAAAATCTTACTATTACTTGCACGGAGCAATGGATTGCTTTCTGAGGCCGAGTCATTATCATTGATTGCAAATAGATTTATAAATTTCAAAGGCACTCCTGGAGGTAATATTCCATTAGACCTCCACATGGAACATATGAATATGATGGTTAAGAGACTAGCAAAAGGAATGGGAGCAAATGTAACAGAGAAGTCATTACAACAGGCTGAAAGGTCAATCCTGGCACTGAATAAGGTTAGAGAATGCATAGCTGATGATTGTTTCAAGAAGACACAAAGTGGTTGGCACAGCCAGAAAAATCCAGAGGAAGGTGTCAAAATCATTGCTCATGACCTACTGATGGGAGAAGTATTTCATAAGAAAGAGAAAAGACAAGGTTACCACTCATTTTCCAAATTCAAATCCAACTTACTTGATGTGGACTATAGAGACTACTTTAAATGGATCAGAGAGAAACTTATACATTGAAACCAAGTATATGACTCTAGAAGACTACTGTAACTTCAAAAACGGCATTTACAGAGATTTTACTTCTACACAGGAGCAATCTGTTTTCTGGCAAAAGAGTGTGTTCATTGAAATTGATTTTTGTTTTAAAGCAGTGTAATTTTTTTATTTTTTCACTTTTGCACAAAGGCACAAAAGCAATTTCCCTTTGTACACCCCTCTCTGTGCTTCTGCAGCCTCTGCTTTAACGTCAATTAGACTATGTCTCAGAAAACAAAAAGTTTGTTGACATTTTTTGTTAACACATGCAACTAAGTAGCAATCCACCCTATTGGGGCCTACTTTATCCTTTTAATCCTTCTAAAGCCACATGATTTTACACGTAAAGTTTTGGTAGCTGCTATTAATTAATACATAACACTATAACAGACAATACAAGATGGCCATTTTTATGGACAACCATGACTCTGAGTGTTACATCTTGTATTAATTAAAGTTACATAAGGTATGTTGGAAGTTCATCAGTCTCATCACTTTCTGCCTGTTCAATAACTATATATCATCTAAAGGAATGCTACTAACCAAATGCTGTTTTCTAGAGACACTAGCATAGAGTTCATCAGGGATTATTATATCATCAAATAACTCTTTAAATAATTCTAGAATAATAACACCAACTTTCATTGATGGAATGTTGCAATACTCAAAAAGATCATATACTGTGAAAATAAAATCCATACTACTTACCATGTTATCTATAATGTTAGTGGATAGTCCATGACATACAACGCCACTTGCATCAAACATTCTCCAACTACACTGACCAGAAAGGAATAATTTTGTTTCACCTAAAGCATTCTTTAAAGCATCCATATCTTCCTTATTTGTTTGTCTGGACCGCACCTTGCCTTCAATTTGGTACACTGTCAAAAACTGGATACTCTACTGGGCAGAATACTCCATTACATTTGCATTTCCTGTGGCAGAAACTGCAACATGCATGCTTTGGCTGAATCAGACAAATCCCTTTATCAAAGTCTTTCAAGAAAGCGACTCGCACACATGAATTTAAGCCATTACTGATAGCTTTTTTGACATCTTTTTCACAAGTTATAAGATGATGCCCTTGAAACACAGTTATGTTGTAAGAAGGCTTGTGATATCTCCCTGCACGACCTGCCTCTTGAAGGTGGCTGGTAAGATTTTTAGAAGGACCAAAATGGACTACATACCTCACATGTGGGAAATCCACACCCATACTTAACGAAGTAGAAGCTATAACAACTCAAATGTTGCCTTTAATACATTCAAATGATGATGTTATTTTGTCCTTGGCATTCTTGGGGGTTTGAGAATAATATACTCCAAGCAGAGATCTTTCCTGAGGAGGTTCACTGCCATCAACATATACTGATTGTCCAAGTTGGCTGAGAAAGAAGTTAAGAACCAATACAATGTCATTGACTGTCTTACAAGAAATTATGGTATATGGAGTTTCTTCTTTTTTTTCTTGAATCATTGAAACAATCCATTCAAAGCAAGACAATTGTGCATCTGCTTTAAACACAGAGAATCGAATGTTATTCCTATTTGGACTCACAACAATTTGTGCTGTTCCACTCTTCATGCAAAGATACTTCATAAGGCGGCCTCTCATTTCTGGGTTTGCTGTGGCTGTCAACCCAAGAACTGGTGTTCCATCTTCTATAATTGATCTCAGCTCAGAAACCTTTCCAAATGCTTCATGAAAAGCAGCTTGTCCCTTCATTCCAATCCCCCTGATAAAGAGTAAGTAACATTAATTTATATCTATTTCTGTACATTTGCACTGTTATGACACAAGTTATTGTAACATTGGCACGTACATTTGGGGAATTTCACTAGAGGTTCTTTTGACAGACTTGCATGCAATACACACATGCAATGTCTTAACTTCATATGGCAAAGCAAAGTGTAAAAAATAATTAAGGTGGCAAAGCTGTAACAAAAACAAGTGTAGGCCCCTTTACATGTAAGGCTTTCACAAAGCATGTGAGTCAATGCTTGTGACTGTTGAGGTACAAAGAAATTTTACACGAATATTAAATTTTATACAAATATTAAATTTTATGAGACAAATTTCATTTCGTCACCTGGAGAATTTCAAATATTAATTAATATACTCATGCCATCAGTGACTCATGCACACCTTTTATTATTTTTTAGTCTGATTCGGAAATTTGTTTGGTTTATGTATAATGAACTGACACATTTTAAATCTTTTTTTGCCAATTTGTATACTAGTAGAAAACATATACAATGCTACTGAGCCAATACAAAAATAAAATATGATATAAAAATTTATTACAGGGCTGTGCTGTATGAGTGTATGCCCCCAACTTATATTTTCTTAAACAGTAACTGAGTAACAGAAATACAATGAATTAAATACTTGCCAGGTTTCCACAGTGTGGATTTCATGGACTACCAATATTTTGGCCTCATACAAGGGCCCAGATTGCAAACAGGTCTTCCATCTGTGTGACAGCCACTGTTCGGCACTCGTGCAAATTATATTATAAAACCCAGCTTCAATCCTTTTGTCGGTTGTTTCAGACTCTCCCATTGATGCAGCTTTGATACCACAATCTAACCGTTCTAACTTTAATACTTGTTGTTTTCTGATGTATTCCAGACGGCTAACAACAATTCTACTACGTCATCAGCTAGGGTCCGGTCAGAGTTGTACGAGAGAGAGCATACGCATGCACGAGATAGTCAGTTGTATACGTCTTGTCGTGAACGAAAGTCGCATTTGAAGTCTTCTCCGAAAATCCTTTTTAACAGCCATTACATCCAGAAGAAAAATCTCACCAGAAGCAAGAAGAAAGCTACATTGAACAAATACAGATAAGTCCCTTACTTATTCATAAGTTCCATTGTTAGAAATTGTATTGTTTTTATGTAAATTATGTCTAGCGAACAAGCCGAGCACGAGGCTACGCACAACGAGTGCGATACACACACAGCTGCCGCCGATACCGAGCCACAACTTATCTTGGTGCTTACGGCCATGCAAGCTAGCATGGATAGACAAAATATGTTCCTTGAATGTATATTTAACGAAAAGCAGGCCACTGAGGAACGGCCTCGTGCTATTGATCGCGTCGATCTAGACGAAGCGTGATGGCGAACAATCTGCTCCAAAAATGGCGAACAATCTGCTCCAAAGCGAGCCAAAACCGCCCCAAAGTCTGGGCTAGATTCTGACGGCAATGACCGTCCATGTATAGCTCAGCAAGTTTCTGACCACGATACAGTGACCACGATACAGTGTGCGAAGATCCTCCCGAGGCAGAGCACGATAAACATGCCGATGCATTGAGTTTGTTTGGAGGGCCAAAATTCGCAGACAAGATTGATGACCTCGATAATGACAATCTCCTCTCAAATATTGCACTAAATTTATCATCTACAGAGCAAACTGGCCCTCCAATTTCAGAGTATCTTGCCAAAATAATAAACTCAAAGTTAGCGGACGAACTTGATATTACAAAACTAAAGGAAATTTTAAGCAAATATCAAAGGCCACAAAATTGTGAGGAAATATGTGCCTAAAGTTAATCCGGAAATATGGCAGAAACTCAAGCCATACGCCAAAAAATTGGACATTAAACTGGCAAACTTACAAGACACTATTATAAAAGGATTGTCTAGTTTGGCCACGTCTATGAACACGCTATTAGAATGCCGGGAAACGAAAACTATTCCAGACTACAAAGCCATCATTCCGCAATTGCTGGACACAACAGCCTTATTTGGCCAGGTATGGAACGAAATTTCCTACAAGCGCAAAGATGCTATATGTCCTATCCTTCACCCTGACTTTAAGCCATTGTGGTCAAGGAGCCACAAAGTTGGCCCTTTATTGTTTGGTGAAGATTTAGCCAAAACGGCTCAGGATGTTCACAATTCAAGCAAAGCTGTCGCTAGCTTAACTACTCTGTTTGCTGGGCAATCAAGCCAAAGTTATCAAACCAAAAGGTTTTCACCATATCCACCACAGACCAGCAGGCCTTTTTTATCCCAGAGAGGGAGGGCACATTTCCCTCCCAGGAGACATCAAAATTACCAGAATCGGAAACAATTAAAAAAGAATTAGACCGTTTAAAACAAAAGGTAAATATATTTAAAGAATTTGTTAACAACACATTAATCCCTTACTTAACCAAAAAGGTTACCTCTTTCCAGGCAGGTCAAATTTCGAAATTCCGCAGGGAATGGGAAAACTCACCACTGACCCTGACATTTTAGCAATGGTTTCAGGGGCTCAAATTTCATTTAATGGCATTTGCCCTGTTCAACACCAGTCTCCTCCAAATTCCCTTCCCCATGCTGAAGCAGACAAAATAGAGGATGCTATCCAGAAATTATTAGATAAACAAGTCATTGTCCCTTGTGACTCTGACTTAATTGAATTTGTTTCACCTATTTTCACCACTCCTAAAAAGGATGGCAATATCCGACTTATTTTAAATCTCAAGAAACTCAATGAGTCTGTAGAGAACTACCATTTCAAAATGGATAATATTCACACAGCTCTTAAACTCATCACAAGAGATTGTTGGATGGCCTCACTAGACTTAAAAGATGCGTACTATAGTGTACCTATCCATCCTGATTCTCAAAAGTTTTTAAAATTTTCATACAAAGGTACTTTACTTAAATTCACTGTTTTCCCGAATGGCCTCTCATCCTGCCCAAGAAACTTTACAAAACTCTTTAAACCAGTTTTAGCTACCCTACGTGTGAAAGGTCACATACATTATCATTATTTACATTGATGACTTATTCTTGGTTGGTCATTCATATGAACAGTGTGTAAATACTGTCATTGAGACATTATGCACCAGTCAATGTAAACCCCCCCCCCAACCGGGGAGGGGTGGGGATTTTGACTTTGAGGGGTAGCAAAAGAGCGAAATTGTCCCCGCCCCCGGGGAAAGGATACTTAGCCAATGTCCCCGCATGTCTCTGAACCCCAGGAAAATACTTTTGTATATTTCATAGATCAGCAATAGAATATCAAATTCATTTGTTATTGTATTTAAAACTTTTCTTGTAGTAAAAGAAAACTAAAATAGCAACACATGATATATGTGTCGTCAGCCTCTTAGCATAATTACCTAACTCATTTTTGGGCCAAAATGCTTTTTTTTTGCCAAATTCATTATTCTGTAATCAGTTGTTGCATATGCTGCAAAAGTGCCTATCTCATTAACATCATGCCATAAACAACATTTGCCTATGTCACGAGCATGTTTTGGTTTGCATAAAAATCAGTTTTCTTCTGCTTTTCTCAAAACATAAAGCAATTATTGTAAGAGGCTGACGATGTTAACTATTGAAACCGGAACTAAAACAACAACATAAGATTCAGTTTATAACCCATATATGCCATCAATACAGCAGGGGCCAGTTGTTTAGCTGCTAAGGTTATTCGTAGCTCAGGGATAACACCTATCACAACAAAAGCATCATGTGCGCTCACAATTTGAGTAACAAACAATAATACACAATATGCGGTGATATTACGACTTCAGAATCATTGTCAAACCGTTGCAAATTAAACCTTGAGCACACACAAGATGCCTTAATTTGTTCGGCGTTCTAGCACTAATCAGACTTTGAACTACTGACCCATGCTGTTCAACCTATTTGGACAAGCACTCTCTGCAAAACAAGTCTCCTTCTGGAATTGTTTCGCCGTCTAAGCCAACACACTCGTAGTGATACCACTGAAACCTGCATTCTTTTGCATCACAGCCAATCATAAAATCATCATCGTCCTTTCCACAGGGACAAAACCCGAAACGTGGATCTCCTATAGCACGCAAAATAATAGGAATTAAAAGTTTATTTCACATTCTTACTGTATATTCCGAAATGAAAAAGGGCGAAATAGGAGATGGATGACATGCAGTTTCCTTTAACAGAAGTATCTTACCAGTATCTCCAGTATGTTTCTTTGCGGCTCTGGTCGCTGCTGCCTTTACTGCACGCGCCCTTTCTGCAACGCCCCTTAAGTGGCCGAACCACATCTTCACCTCGTCCAGGCTAAGTAGAGTTTCCTGTGAACATCGTTCCATGACGCTGTCAGGAATCTTTGAGTGGTCTTTCAATTTTGAAAACTCTGCTTTTAAGAAAGCCGAGGGCGGCTGAATTTTTCGATTATACATGGGCTGATCCATAGCGAGTCCAATGCATTCTTCTGCTTTAAGGTAGTGACCTGAACAAAATGTCCCTTTGCACTGATTGCATTTGCCGCCCCATGGTCGTTTGGGGTCCTTCACAGGCATGGGGATAACAGATAGGATCGGGCCATCATCAAACCACTTAGGTTCAACAACAGCCTTTCCCTTTCTACACACCGGATGAATACAAGTTGGTTTATAGCATAAGTAAAGCAGGAAGACATACTGTTCAGGATAATCTTTGATATAATGATCATTTCGAACTTGCCAAACATTCTCAAAATAATTGTACTCTACAGGATTTGAGACTTTCAGCTGTTGTTTCGATTTTTTTGAACCATGTAAAAATGTCAGAAGGTTTTGCCATCTGTTCCCAAGATATCTTCCATACTCATCTTTATTGCCTTTAAAGAAGACGATGTTTGTTTTCCCAAAAGGAGCATTTTGAACCCTGTCAATGTACACAGATGCCGCAGTGTCCAGATTTGCTTTGAGCTTTTCTTCACTTAACCCACTTGCAGCCAAATTTGATCCATTTAACGTGGAGGGGATGAAGATATTACTATGTGCTCTCGCAATACAACCGTTAACTAGCTCTACCCTGTTCAAGAAACTTCCGCCACTGTTCCTGGCTGTTACACACATGCATACTTTTTCTTCCTTAAGATGGATCTCTGTCCATAGAAATTGAACTTCAAGTAATGAAGGACGCTCGTCTGAAGCACCGTCCACATGGATGCAATCCACTGTTTTGCCTGATAAATAATCCTTGAACTCTTCTGTTGTCTTAAGGAACTTTAAATCACTTGCATGCTGTGAAGGGTTTTTACCAAAGGAAACATGGTCTTTAACAATTCCTGCTGCCCTTTCATTAGAGGCGTCTGTCTCCATTAATAGGTAGGTGCTAGTTTGTAAAACCGAAGAATACTTGTTCACAAAGTCTGTTCTTGTGTGATTTCTTGCTCTACTGATAACACGATGTTGCGAATGTGTGTATGTGGTGTCAAGCCTGAAACCCGCCTGATCATCTCTGTTAAGAACTAGCTTTTTGGATGCATGTTGCAGCTGAAGCTTGTCCAGAATTTTGTACATCTTACAACTAAAGTGCGCATCTGGGTTAAATTTCAGGTTAAATCCCTTTCTCGCTCGTCTGCATGTAACCTTTGCTACATTCTTGTAACGCTTAGAGGAAAGTTTTCTTTTGTTTCATACAACACACAGTTCAACAACAATTCCGTAACCAATTTTGGTGTTATACTTTTCTTGCAAATGTGCTTGGATTGTCCTAAAGGATGCTTTCTGGCCCTTTTTCTTGTTACCGTCGAAAGTAGTAACACCGGTGCGTCTCCAAGAATCTGCTCCGCATCGCTTGCTTTCCACAAATTCCTCAATGTCCCGCCCAATATTCGGATACTTTTGAAGAATTGAACTTACTTTTTTGGGAACCTTTCTTTTGAGAAGACTGTTCTCTGCTATCAACTTCGCTGCCTGTCGTCTTGCTATCCTCTTAACAATGCCTACGTGTTTGTTAACCATTTCCTTCCCCTTTGCTGACCTCAGATTCAAATTGACCCAGTCCTCGGGATCATTGCTTTCCGAGTCTGTCAGACCTGTTGCATTATTAGCCATTACTCTCTCATCATTCAAATACGCTTGTCTCAATATTTCAATGGACTCTTTTCCCATGTCATTCAGGTCAAAAGCATCTCAATTTTCTTGAAAGTCAACTAACACTTGATCAATAACGTGGTGGCTGCTAGTGCGCATCAACAGCTTTAACTCTGCTATGAATGCAAACCAGTTTAAGTTGCTTTCTCATAACATAAGTAACAAATGTTCACTTGTAGGAGGAAGGTCTTTTGGTTGTTTATTTAAACCATCATCTGGGTCCACGTGGTTATGCACTGGTGCTGTGTCAGACTCATCGTCACTATCCTCACTGAGCCATTCAATTTGAGAATCGTTCTGATTTGTTGATGCTGTACTTTCACAGTCACTCTCACTTCCACTCATACAATCATACAATCCAAGGCACCGTAACGCTGACATTTCCCTAGCAGTAGCAAGGTCAGTTACCTCCCTTCTTATGGCTGTAGCTTGTTCTAGAGCACTTTGAACGTTGTTCTTCAAACTTGCGAGTTGCTGTATTCTAAGATGCTGCTTAGCTTTTGTGTTTGAATATCTACTTGCCTCACAAACAGCAAATTTTATTAACTTTCGGTCGCTTTCAGTCGATGCTAAACTGCAAAGGTCACGAAGAGTTTCCTTTGCGATTCCAGTCTTATCTAATTAGGTTTGCAAAGAAAACTTGTGAACAAGACTAGCCAGTGTCTGATAGTCAATCCCGTCATTCTTTTCAATGACATACAACTTCTGCATGCCAGGCTTCTGGCACAGTTTAAAGACGACTACAGGTAACTGCATGAAACGTTGTGTAGCATTGGATGACTGGTAGGTTGACGAAAAATGTTTCCGGTAAAGTTTTGAGATTTCGCAGACTCCAGAAACAATGATTTCCTTCGCAGCGTTGATTAATTGTGGGCACTCTCTACATTTATTCAAGTGCCGCTGAGAACACAGGGCAGACCTGCACAAAATAAAATCTTCCAGACACATATTCCTCAACTTTGATACGTAAATACCATCATCTGAAACTTTAGTTCCTTCACTCAAGTTAGTATTTACCTGTTTTAAATAGTTATAGTACATCGATTCGTCTAACCTACCGGTCAAATCTACAAAAAAGACTCTGCTGGAGCTACATTTTTCTTTTCCTCAACATCACTTACTACTTTGCTGACTTCACTTTCTTTGCTGATTTCTGCACTGTCTTCAACAGAATCAAGTACTTCAAGGATTTCTTCAGCATTTAATGCCTGCCCTTTATCCAATACTTCATCCAGAGTGCGCTGTGAAGAATTGAGCTGCTTACCATCTAGCTTATTCTTGGCTTCCTTGATTTGAGAGTTTCTCATTTTCTTTTGCTTGAGTGACTTTGCTTCTTTTTTTCTGGAGAGTCAACAGTTTATCATCTAGTTTCCACTTTCGTTGTCTTAGCGGAGTCATATCCTGTGTCAAGCTCCTTGCACGCTCATCTTGGTTTAGATTCCTGGCTTTTGCTCTGGATCTTTCAAGCAAGGACATTTCTAAATTTACTTCCTTTAAATCTTCTTCGATATTCGTTATTCTTTTTGCTCGCAATGATGGGGTGGAATGGACAATTCTTGGGATCGTGATTTATTTTTCGTGTATGAATAACCACTTTCATCCACTTTTGCCCTGGTCAAAGACTGCAGTTCACCTCTCTTGTGAACTAAGGATGGATTTTCCAGACAAATTTCATATGCAGCATCATTTAGAGCTTTTCTATATTTATACAAGAAAGAACCAGGAACTGCATTTGGGTAAATCTTGCTGTCCTCTCTCAACTTTTCAGGGTCTATTTTAACAGCCACCTCAATGTTTGATTTTGAACCACTTTGCTGAATCAAAAACAAAAACATGTGGTTTTAGATTTAAATTATTCTTAGGTGCGCAACGAAGTAACTGCTTGAAGCTACTTAACATTAATCCAAAAATACATTGGGGTGAGGTCTATATATATATTGTGTAGATATCAAATTTGAGGTCTGAAATACAATTTTTAATTTTGCACAATTACACAATATCTCTGCCTGCAGATCGTACCTGTAGAGTTGGACCCAACACAATCTGATTTCCCTGAAAGCAGATAGTTTTCTGGCCACCTGAAACAAACACAGACAAAAAATCACGGTCTGAGAGATGTAAATTTGGAAATATACACTGCAGTGATATAGACAAAATTACATCATACTTTGCTTTAAATTAGATTGCATTGACTCATCGGATTTTGAGGTTTCACTCACTTGATTGCCCACACCAACATCTAGGAAACATAGAGACACAGGATAAGTTCATCAGCATGATCAACATAGCATGTTCATTATTCAAGTTCATGTACATCCTATAAGAACTCCAGAATTATTGTGCACATAATAGTGAAAACCATGCAAACCTTCACAACTTTTCCATGCCTAACCCTAACCTAAACCCTAACCTAACCCTAACTTATTTTAAAAATAGAATAAAAACGGAAATCTTATTTTGAAGTATACTTTCTAGTAATTGCCTTATATCATATTTTGGTTTGACCATGGATAGTAAAAGACATGGATAGGAAACTAGCTGACGTGAGCTAATGTTTTCAATGGGATGATGCCGTTGAAACCCTAGTTGCAAACCAAATTCTCAAAAACAGCATGTTTAGCGATAATACAGCTACACATTTTAGTCTAAGAGCAAATAAATATTACTAGACCATTCTACGATGAAATCTCTAAGTATTCCCAGTCAATTTTAGCAAATATTTCAAGCACTAAACAGTGAAAAAATGCATCGCAAATTTCGTAAAAATTGGCGACGCCAATTTCGTAGCTACAAATGTTAAAAAATACAAAACAAAGACGAAAAACATTTACCTTGAATACTTTGTCGTGGCTTGGGCATGTTTTTAAAACAATTAGACTAGTTTATGCTTCAATATAACTCTTTTAAAGCGGAAAATATAGTGAAACAACAAAAATGCTGAGAACTTTGGCAATACATGTGACGTCACAGATTGCAACTAGGTTTAGACTGTGACGTCAGCTAGTTTCGTATCCAGTTATTTTACAATCCCTGGTTTGACCATAGGGAATATAATGTTGTTATAATATTAGTGTTTCCTTATCAAATATATTTCTCATAAAAAACAAGAAGCAAATAGATTGCCTGACATTTAGATGGGTGTAACTCTAGCTCCCACCTAGGACCAAATGGTGCCCTCCCTTATTCATTTTCACATGGAAGTATTAAAATACTAGAAGCTACTTAGGGACTGCATGCCTGAGTGCTCAGCAAATCAAGTTAGGTATTCACACATAAATTATATGTGCAATATGTATAATTTCACATTCAGTTCTGTGTAGACCGGGAAAGCAAGACTCTCCAGTCTCCACGTTTTGCAAACCTCACAAACAATTTCTGTTAATTATTTAAGTTAAACACAACAATTTTTTGTATTAAAATGTTTGAACATTTCTATCCAGTTTTGTTAAGATACACACACACACACACACATAAAAAGCATTAAACCTCTTGGTGAGGTAAAAATGGTCCCCCAAAAAGATCTACAGGGGCATGACGGCAAAATATGATGCTAGAGGCATTTTCTATAGTACACCATGTCAGTTCTTTTTATATATCTAGTCAAAATATTGTTAAAATACTATGTCCATAACTTGATATAACTCATATAACTAGATCTATTTTGTATTAGGTAGGTATTATCAAGAGGTGCTATGTAACATTATTTGGAAAATCATATAAAAATATACTCATAGTTATTTTGTTAGCCAAACTAAGAAATACTGAGTCATAGAAAGAGACAGAATTGGGGGTGCATGGGTGGGGGTGAGCTGTGGTACTGGGATAACAAGGGCACTTTCCATTAACATGGTCGGGCCAGTTAGACTGATAAAATTATTAAATGAAACACAAAATTATTGGACATCAGAGCAGTATGACAGTAAAATTTGGATCAAATCAGGACAAGCTCCATTTTGGCTATAGTTTCAAGAAACCTGGACCAGATCTTTTCATGGCTGGCCATTAAATGGAAAGCACCCCAATACACCTTCATGTACCACCTATGTCGATAAGTTGAAATGCTTTGTTGAGGGACATAGATGTAGAAACTACAATACTTGTCAATGATTATTTCTTAAGACAACTTTTAATATACAGTATAAATATACCCAAAAGCCCTGCCCAAACATTGTTTACAGGATAGATAGATATTTCGAGATTTCCAGATACCTTTTCTCAAAAGATCTTCATAGTTCTCAGCTATAATCATTTTCTTCAATGTGCGGTCTGCTGACCACACCCTGAAAGGTTTCATATCTATATTAAAATAGAAACACAAAACATAAAATAATTTATCATGTACTATTTAAAACATTATGCATATTTATTAAATATGTTAAATAGATGACCCAGATGGGCTTTTGTAAAACATGCAAATCAAAACAAAGTCAAAGGTATTACATTTTATGGCTGAAGAATCAGGATACAAGAAACTTTATTAAAACTCAGACTTCACATACTATTTCCATAAAAGATATGATACGCTTTTATATGATTTTTCTTTGTTTCCTCATGAGTTTTTGAAATATATTTAAAATTCGCCAATTGCAGATTTAATAAAGTATAAAAGAAATAAAAAGTTTTCTTACCTTTAATAGTTAGTACTTTTTGTTTAAACAAACATATCAAGGAAATAATCCGAAATATCAAACATCCAAGCCCAAGGCCAATACAGCACACGCATGAAAGAATTGTCGCCATGAAAACGTCTGCAATGTATCCGTGCTTCCGTTTTCAAATTTCGAATTTCCGCAATTCAATAAAATATCCATTCCCCGCTTTCGTCCCCGCATCGTCTACTGAAAGAGAAAATGTTGTCCAAGTCCCCCACCATCGGGGACATATTTACCATCAGGGACATATTTACCATCAAAACTGACGACTTTCCCCGCTAAATCCCCGCCCCCTCCCCGGTTGGGGGGGGGGGGATTTACATTGACTGGTGCATTAATTCTACTAGAAAAATTGGGGTTTGTCATTCACCCTTCGAAATCGGTGTTTATTCCTTGTCAAGAAATAACCTTTCTTGGTTTTTTGCTAAATTCTCATGAAATGACTATCCGCCTTACCGAGGAAAAGATAGCCAAACTAACTGTTCTTATTACAAACATTCTGTCATCTGCAAATAGAGTTAAAATCAGAATGGTTGCCCAGGTCATTGGCCAATATGGTAGCCTGTTTTCCAGCAGTTGAATTTGGCCCGTTATATTACCGTAGTCTTGAAAAAAGACCAAAAAGTCATGGTCATGGCGAGCGGTCATGTCTTTGTGAGCTCTTTGAATGTTCTTGTTATTTCTCTATTGATGCTCTGCACTGAATGTTGTGCACATGAAAACATAACAGGGCAAGAAACGCTTGTATGTGTGAGAAGTCTACAAGTGTGTGATCTTAACGAGAATAAAGAAAATTTGGCTGGCCATTCGAACGCTGGTATGTGCCATGTTGGAGACTGTGAACCGGATTGTATTATCTCCTGCAGAGATTCATCGCATGTGGAACAGGGAATCGCTTTTTCTGCTGTGTCTGATGTGGTTGTTGAGATAATAACTTTGAACTGTCCGAAAGAAACAGCGTTGTCAAGATTAAGAAATCTCGAGATTTGTGTTTATTTGTCTGGTTTTGGTTTCGTTCGCTTCAGTGAACGTTCTCTGATTTGCATACGTTTGCACACATTTCCTCATTGGGATTACACGCATAAGCGCTATTTGAGACGGAGGCTTAATTATTCATCAAACAACGTAGCAACTTTTAATCCATCTATTGTTTCATTGATTTTGCTTCGATGTGGCGATGTTGAAACACAACCGGGTCCTGTCAGAGAACAAACGTCTACAGAGTCTGGATGTTATTCTCGCAAAAACGAAAGGAAAATAAAAGTTGGACATTTAAATGTACGATCGTTAAAAAATCGTATACACCACACTCTTGTCAAGGAAACTGTGCTCTTACATAAATTCGACATTTTTACAATTTCTGAGTCTTGGCTGGATAATACTGTATCGGATACTGAACTTGATATTCTCGGCTATGCCCTTTATAGACAAGATCGCCAAATTTCTAAAGGCGGCGGTGTTTGTGTCTTTGTAAAGAACAACATAAAAGTATCACTGTTACCTGACATCTCGGCCATTAATAATGGATTTCAACAACTTTGGTTACAGGTGCAATTAAACAAATGCAAATCGCTGGTTTTGTGTGTTGCATATAGGCCACCAAACTCGCTTCCATCTCTGCTTACTGATTATTTTATGCCTAATGTAATCTTAGCAATGTCCAAATGCAAAGATTTGATTGTCCTGGGTGATCTAAACTGCGACATGTTACAGGAATCCAAACGCGAATCGCGTGTATTACTTGAAGTTTGTTCAAAGGAATCCATGAATAGTTGCTATTGATCCCATTTCTGATCCCTTATCCAGTCTTAAATGTTGACTTAATGCTTAACAGAAGAAAACAATTGTTAAATTAATCAGATGCTCTTCAAGTGGTCAATCTAAAGCAGACAAAACCATAAACATTTTAAAACCGTTTGGCATAATGTGGTATTTTTAAGTAGTTCAATGTGCTAACCATACACCAGAATATATATATTATTTAATGCACTAAATATATAATACATACTTTTTGTTGTTATAAGATATTCAAGGTACCACCGCCCAATCAATTTTGGGTTTGAATTTGAGGTCCATAACTTCAAATATAGGATTCGACAACTAAAAACATCTTGCATTCCAAATAAAGCAAGTGGGAATGTGTCTCTCATGAACCCCATTAATTTGTCATGACCATCACCTGAATGTGTATGATTTGGTCCCTAAAAACAAGATAATACGCAAATTAAAAAACTTCACAACTCCACTTATCACTTCACATAACCATGAATTTGACTCTCTAGTAGATACTCAGGAGTTTCAAGTTTGCCAGGGAATGGAGAATTTGACCTTTCAATTTTTTGTCAAAAGTGTGTGTAAATACAGATTTAGACTGGTGAACAAATGTATACCAAATTTGCAAATGGTTGATTTGTTACATTGTTTGTGCAAGGGATGGGGAAGGAGCATACTGTACTTGGTGCTGCTTTCCTCTTGTCCTTTGAAGTTGTAAATAGAGCAGTGAATCGCTATGCGAATTCTTACTTGATCATGGTCTATGAGAACGATGGGCTTTTTAACAACATTTGATTTTGATTTTTGAAACGAAAGTCGTATATAACTTGCTTTTTCTAAATCAAATGAGAACGTTGGGCTTTTTTCACAATTTGAAAGTTGAATTTCATTTTCATTTTGAAATGAAAATCGCATGTTGGTTTTTATTTTTAATTTTAATTCTTCAACAATTTTTTTTTAATTTTATATTTTTATTATGTTTTTTTTTAATTTAATAAATACTTTTTTTTGTTTTTTTATTTTATATTTTTATTATGTTTTTTTTAATTTCATAAATTTTTTAAAATATTTTTTATTTTATATTTTTATTATGTTTTTTTTTAATTTCATAAATTTTTTAAAATATTTTTTATTTTATATTTTTATTATGTTTTTTTTTAATTTCATAAATTTTTTAAAATATTTTTTATTTTATATTTTTATTATGTTTTTTTTAATTTCATAAATTTTTTAAAATATTTTTTATTTTATATTTTTATTATGTTTTTCTTAATTTCATAAATTTTTTAAAATATTTTTTATTTTATATTTTTATTATGTTTTTTTTAATTTCATAAATTTTTTAAAATATTTTTTATTTTGTATTTTTATTATTTTTTTTTAATTTCATAAATTTTTTAAAATATTTTTTATTTTATATTTTTATTATGTTTTTATAATTTCATGAATTTTTTAAAATATTTTTTATTTTATATTTTATTATGTTTTTTTTTAATTTCATAAATTCTTCTTTTTTTTGTTTATTTATATATATTTATGTTGAATATACGATGAGAACGATGGGCCACCATACTATAGTTAAAACTTCGTTGCCCGCTCTTACACTAAGAAAATAATATGGACATTTCACAGAACATTTTACTGTTAAAAACACAATAAGTACTACAGGTTTACAATAATAAATACTACAGGTTTACACGCGTGACACCTAACGAATTCGAGGTAAGATAGAACTGTAAGCTAGCGCAAGTTTGAAGAACTTAGCTTTCGATTACAGAATACGCCATTACAGTCTCATTGCCTCTGCTGTCTGTTACGTAGATAAATACGAGATTGTTACTGTGCAATAATAGCTGTGTATATGTCTATATGAAGCCTGGTTTTTAGGGTTGCCTTCTACCTTCGATTAAGTAATTTCGAGCATAGACAGATTACGTAATTTCTTTGAGTAAATACAAAGACAAAATAGCAAATAGTAAATACCATAGGCAGATTACGTAATTTCTGGGTTTTTTTAAAAAATTTTTCTGAGTTTACGAAATAAGCCGCGAGAAACAGATTTCTCATACTGGGGGTGTCTGTCTGAGAATTGGATAAAGTCACGTGTTAAGTGCCTTTAGCATCATGTTGCAGTGTGGGATTGGTGGATAGTAGTGTTTCTGGGTTAGATTCACACTAGTTTTCAATTTGTTAAGGTCATGTATATATAGCATGGTTTCGAAATTTGGGAAAAACATGCACTCGTGAGTTTTTCAGAGAAGATCAAATTTCACGAGAAACCATACTCTTACTTATTAATAATGTACATGAAAAGTTATGTAGTCACGTGCGTAAGTCGCACTTAGAAATTAAGAAATTAAAAAATTAAGAAATTTGAAAAATAAAAAATTTAAAAAGTTGAGAAAATTATTTTATTCGCACTGTATTTCTTTTTCTGCCCTGTATTTCGTTTCTTGGCATTGTATTTCGAAAATATTGCATTGCTCTTTGCCAATCAGAATTGAGAAATGTTTTCATGTATATTATTAGAACTGTTATAGTATGGAAAAAACATGCACGAGTAAATTTTTGAAAGACGTTTGAAATTGCACGGGTCCAAAAGTGACAGAACAAATGGCAACCCAGTGAGATAATTGACGGGCATTGTTTTTAATACATGTATCGCGATATTATTGAATATTATGAAAATTTCCTAGACGATAATCGTGATATGATTTGTTAAAATATCGTCCAACCCAACCGGAGTTTCGAAACATTGTGTCGTAAACTGTAATCTCTACTAATAATACTAATAATACTAATTATAATACCAATAATACAAATAATGCTAATAATACTAATAATTCTAATAATACTAATAATACTAATAATACTAATAATACTAATACTAATAATACTAATAATACTAATAATACTAAAATAAAATATACACGCCTGGTTTTTTCCTGCTAGCAAGATGTAAACAAGGCAAGGGGTCTATAGGATTCTTTTACTTTTTCGCGTTCAACATAGCGATTCAGGGTAAGGGAATAAACATAGTACATGCAAAGTATATTTAAATTGGTTATAAAAGTGGTGTATATCCAATGCGAAAAACACTTCACTCATCGTCTACAAATATCATGCAGAACCGTATACTACTGTATGCTGTATTCTGGGGTCGCGTATCGATTTCAAGCCATTATCGTGCATGGACAATTTAGTCCCTGGAACTCCAAAGCTATAACATCCCTCAATTTTTCTCCGACAATGCTTTTTAATGTGAAATTATAAACGCCACGGCCTTTTGTGGACATCGCTGTATAAGCGACTTTTAGCTATCACAAATAACTGATAAATTAAGCCTGGTTCACACGAATAAGCATAAACGCGAACACGAAAGAAAATTTTACCTTCGGGATTTACAAAGATAAAGCAAACAGAATTTTCTTTACAAAGTCTTATGTTTTCCTTAGCTTGCACTTATGTCGAAGGTTTATGTTGCATGCTTCACTGCATTTCCCTATTTTGCGTTTTGTCTTTTCTTATGCTTGTGGTTATCTCCTGTTTGTGAACCAGGCTTTAGGCTTCTTTCCAAATCCTATTGGCAACACGGCCAATACGTGGGCAGTAGACTCGATTCATTTTCCTTTTCTTCACGCTTTAATATTGAAACTGTGAGGCCTACTTTGGGGGCCAAGGTCGCCGTTATTATGTGCAACATTGTGCGACATTAGGCGACATTGGCAATTTTCAAAGAAAAGTAGTGTGCGTCGCTGGGCGAAACTGGGCGACATTGGGCGACATTGGACAAAACTGAACAGTAATATCCAGATAACGTCAAATATTATAATTCACAAATTATGCATCTACATAGAAAATACAACAGTAAATATCAAAATATAATTTAGTTATCAAAAATTGGTTCCTGTGGCAAAGAACACAATTAGTTTATTACAAATAGCAAAAATAACAAGGAACATTTATCTAACTGCTAGCCTGACAATTTACTCAAAGTTTATACCGTAGTACACATACATGCCCATGCAGTGCATGGTACATTTACAGTATCATGGAACTCTGACTTCTCATTAAATTGACTGATGTAAACACCTCATAGAGTTTTAAAACCTGTTTATGGACTGTGGTATGCAGTGATGGAAGTGAAAGAATTGGCATTTAAGGTAAATAAATTGTCAGCTAGCTAGCTATCATAAACGTGTACCATGTAAATCATGTACCACCATGACCATGCTTGAAATCTAACCCACCAAACTGGCAAACAAATATCTCAAATAGTGATAACTGTCATAACTATAAATCTTATAGTTTCAATAAAAAATAGAATTTACTTTCAAAGCAAACAGATAGAAAAAAGTTTAATCCATATACATTTGTATAAATATACTGACTTACTTTACCAAAATTAGATGACAGTTCCTTTACTTTAACTGAACTAATAAATAACAAGACGCTCTGTGGAGCGTTAACTCGCTGGGGCTACACAACTGACGCACATTACTGTTAAGATCTAAAGGCTGATTTCCACTGGCACTGTTGCGTTTTTCGTACGCACGTACACGCACGTAAAACTTTGAATCCTTCTATTTTTAAATATTTTAGAAATAAGTTAACAAATTCATACTAAAACTTGCGGAGCAGTAAATTCAATCTCGTCCTCGGGAAGGAACGCGAGGCTCTGGGATAATCCGTTTCAGGGAGGAATCTGATTGGCCGTTGAAATGGAATGCGTAGTTCAATCTTAGCCAGGATTCCTGGCTTCCGGCAACGGATTATCCCAGAGCCTCGCGTTCCTTCCCGAGGATCGCAGGCTCGGGGAACGAGATTGCGTTTATGCCCACAAGTAAAGTTATATTTTATAGTACGCTACATTCTTCTGTCGGCCACCAGTTTAAAACGTTCAAAATAAAATATTTTGGGGCTTTTGGGCTCAAAATATCATCAAAATGAAGAGAGAAGTGAGGCGAATCCACTGGTGTACGGCCGAAAAAGAAAAAAACAATGATACC